CTCCCATAAAAATCTGGGAATTTCTTTCTTGTACCATTTAATTTAATGTTTATTGACATTCTTGTTTCGTCCACTCCACCGACTCCTGAAAACAAACACAATCCTCGATTTCCAGTCTTTTTATTCCATCTATTTCCAGGTTCCAGTGGTCAGCTCATGAAAAGAAATCCCTCAAATAACCTTGTGGACCCTCCAACCATGAATTCCTCCTCTGAAACCCATAAAGTTGGTTTTCTTTGCTGGAACACTTAGTGCGCTCCTGTGTTTTTGATATGAGAACAAAGCAAAGGAGACGTCCAATATATTCCAACCAACATATGCTTCTTATAATTCTGAGGTAGATTGCATTTCACACAGTCTGGTTGGTAAGTCAAGGTGTGACCATTAATGTGTTGCTCCATACATTCCCCTGCATAATTATGTGCTGACTCGAGGTCTAGACTGATTAAACTGAGACACGAACAGAAGGGGACACAGAGGGCAAACTAGAAGAGGGATAGGAGAATTCATACCTCATACCCACCAAGGCTAACGCCCTATCTCACCATGCTAAAGAAAGAGAACATTTATTCAGATCTTCTCTAAAATGTAATGGATTCTTCCTTGGGTCATGCCCCACACCATTGGTTCAGTAGTTTTTCTGTAATCCTGGTAACTAACAAACAAACCAATAAAACAAAGGCTGATGGAAACATGGCTTCCTTGGCAGAGGTAGTAAGGTGGAGGCGCACGTCTCTGGTTTCAGCCCACACCTTTCATTGTCACAGCTGGAACTGCTGTTTAACTTGATCTTGTTTTTAGATTCTTCTTGTGTGTTAGTGCTGTAAATGTGAAATGTAATGAAAGTGAATAGTCTGCTCCACTTTACCTGTATGGGTGTGGACATATCTTAGTGTCTGGAGTCAGGATTGTGTCACCAGAATGTGCCTGCTGCGATTAAATGAACCGTAGTCTGAGATTATTTTGTTGACACTTTATGTACTTTAGAGCTCTGTTTAAAAAAAATGGATCAACAATGGGTTTTTTTTGTATCTTTCTTCTAAAGTACTGTGAGAAACTTTCCAAATTACCTCAGACTTCATCATTAACATTTCTGCACTGGAGTTTTGATCCAGCCAATTTATACCCCAATATGTTTTGGGATTAACAAGTAACTTTACATTAAAACCACCTTTTTAAGATGAATGCACTGAATTTGTGAAGATGTGTGTTCAAGCCCGTTCATTTAGCGTACTACCCTATGCAGTAGTACAATTATAGTACTGGAGTGTGATACTTCTATGGTACGTGTACTTCTATAGAATGATTAACGTGTAGATTGTACCTTGTCCGAGTCGGCCGCCAGTCAGAGCCTCTTTGGCACTACCGAATCCTAGCTCTCGACAGACCACGGTGGCAGCCCGAATGTTCCAGTTGTCATCGCACACTGTTCCCCACTCGCCGTTCTTCAACACCTCCACTCGCCCCTCGCCTATCATGGCTCCGCCTCTTAGACGCACCAGGGGTTGCTATGGAAACAGTCCACCAAAAACTAAAATTAGTGAAAATGTTAAAAAGATTTTATTGGCAGTTTTTCTGAGTGACGCACAAATGTCAACCTCAAGTAACAGGTAATAAAAGACCTTTAAAATCAAAGTTTGAATTAAAATTACATTAGATGACAAACTGCATACTCTATGTCTATATCACCATTGTTCCTTGTTTTGCAGTATACAGAGTACACTCAGTGACACCATGGTAATAACTCAGAAATAAACATTAAACATTAACCACAGTATGAGAGAAATTATTGTTACATTGTATTTTCACAGATGTTCATCCATTTAAATGTTTCCAGATGTTTGACAACACAGACACTTGATTTATAAGAATTAATTGTTTCAGTCCAGAGTTGGATGACATCATACGTGTATCTTGCTTTTATTGAACTCTCTATTTACATGTACAAGATTTTGTACTTCCTGTTATCTGATATAATCATCTAGGGCCACAATGTAATTTGCAGATCAAACAGATCGGATGTTTGTTAAGAGTCTTGATCAAATGCAAGCATCTGCAATACGCCCAGTTAGATCACATTTGCAGAGACTCATTTCAGTCATATGGTATCATGAACTGACTTGTACAAGTGTCAGACGGTCTGTTAATACTTTCCAGTTTCCAGTTGTTCTCTGACTTACCTCCACCCTGTAGGCCTTGCTGAAGCCGATGCTGATGCTGGGAGCGAAGGCACGTCCCGGGATACAGCTGATCACGACAGGCATGCCCTGTCCACAGGTGCTGTTGTCCTTGACCTCGATCTCCCTGCCCAGTTTACAGTCAGACAGGTTGGCCTCATTGCCTGTACAGTTGACAGAGAAACCCCAGTAGTTCTTCTTACGACGCTTGGCCAGCAATCTGAGGAGGCATAAAATGACACGGAGATAACATATAGCTATTTACTGCAACACATAGTTTACGCTTCCCATTATTCATGGTAATTTATGACCGCCAACCATTTTAGAAAGCATGTCACAGATTTTAAGATTAACACATGAAGAATGACAACATTTTTCCAACCTCTCTTAGGTATGAGTTCATGTCAAAACCTGCACACTTGAATCTCACTTTCGAAACACAATCCATCACAGTCAGTATATATTGTCAGTCTCTGTTGTTTTATGTTATCTCATCGTCACAAGTGTTTTCCACTTTGTGTGTTCAAGTGCTGGTGAGAGTAGTAGTCTAAGTTATTTTAAAACAGCTTGAATCAACAGCACAGTACAATACAATATGACAAGATTTGATACGATATGATATGATAAGGTATACAGTACAATATAATATGATATGGTACGATGCAATACAATACTATATGGTGTGATATGGTACAATTTGATTTGATACCATATGATACAATATAATATATATATAGTACAAAAAGTACCCATCAACATATTTATAAAACATGAACACAATCCTCATTATGAACATGTTTCTACACAACAACAGCATCAGCTCATCATCAGTCAGCACAGTGTTCGATAAGACACTCCACTTCCTGGATTCTCTGCCTGTGTGTCTTCTGCCAGGTCCCCGCTCTGCTCTTCCTGACAGTGTGTGCTGCCAACTCATTAATTTAACTGCATCTTATCCTTCAATCATTTCTCATCTTCTGCAGTATTTAAGGACTCCTTCAACCCCTGGTTTGATAGATCACCTTTGTTATTCGTTAGCAGCCGAGCAATATAATTTTATATCTGAACCTTGATCTTTACATTAAATTACTACTTCTCAACTCTACACGTCTCAGCTTCTGTGTGCCACCTAAAACCTTAACAAATGTCCTCTGACATGAACAAAAAGCACATAAAATATTTTATTGTTCTTTCTCTTCACTTCAGCAGCTGTTTTCTAAGATTTATTTCCATGAGGGACTGAACAAAGCCCATCTTATACTGAAGCACAATGGAGGTATTATTGTGGTAATACCTTTCCATTCTCACGACCCCAGACTTGAACCAAAGTCATCAAGTCACTGAGGTAACCAATAACAGTGGATCTTGAAGAGGCCTGAGCCTTGGAAGAGGCAGACCTTGTAATGAAAGCAGCATGAGCGACATTTACAGCCTTTCACTCGTACAGCTTATCCAGATGCTGTAAACACAGTGAAGCTTCAAGTCCCTTTGAATACAAGGACAGGTTGTGATCAGTGAACTATGAAGAAATGCCAAATTTAATTAAGAGGTTTTAGATTTGTTTGTTGAATAGAACAGTTTTTTTGATGTTTCAGATAAAAGAACATCAGTGAAACTGTGAACCTGTGTGAGACCACAGCAGCATCCCACACTTTAAAACCACATCTCAAGTGATAAACAAAAACAGAAATGTTCATTTTTCTGATTTGAAGCATAGGATTAGCATCAAAACAGATGAGGTCATGTCTGCCAGAGCTATAAAAACTATTTTAATCCAAGTCACCCTCTGTGCCTTCATTTGACAATAGATGACATTGACTCATAGTGTAAATTAATGTATTTCTGATGTCTGACTGGTCTTAATTTGACAGTGGTTGGACTGGCTGTATGAAACCGCGAGTGTGAAATTCACTTCAAACCATCAAACCAGGTGGCCACATTTTCTTCTAAGAAATATTTGATTGTAGGATTTATATCAGCCTGAGAAAGCCAAGAAAGAATCTGTTATTCTCCTTCATGAAGTCACCAGATGTGCTCATGTGCAGTCAGCATCTGTTTTGTTTTGAACTGCCCTCCCCATTTAAGCAGATAAAATGATGACACTAAGTGTTGTAAGAAGTGGCGGGCTTTGTGTTGAGCTACAAATTGAATGTGACATTTAAGAATGATGGCTCGATGTTGTGGCTGCTCGAACCCATCGGCGGCGAATTGTTATTGGCCTAAATTTGTTGAAAGTAGTTTCATTGGTTGCCAATCAGAGGATCTGATTAGATGACACAAAACGTGTGAGACAGTTTCTCTTAATGCAGCTAAAATGGCTGCCTGGGCTTTACCAGGTGCCCGAAAAAGACAATTAAAGGTTTGTTCCAAGGAAATTCACTTTGGAGAAAACCAAAACATCTGAACACCATCGACTTCATCAGTCATTTGAAGGCTAAATTTTAAACTAGCCAACACTAAGGCAGCAAGTGAAGCAAAACAAAAATCAACCGAATAACAGCCAAAATGCTTTCATTCATATGCCTTGACCACCAGTCCCTGTCCATTGTGGCAGAAGGCTAGACTCTGCCAGGGTGCACATATTTCACTGGTGTATGTCTGCCACAGTTATACCAGACAGTGTACAGAATAAAGCACAACCTACCAAATGCATAATAAAATACAATTTATCCTACAATTACTATTTTACTTAACCTCTCTCTGTGCTGTGACATGCTATTCTCGAATGGAGCAACTTTAATGTGATTCAATTTACCCTCAGGGATCATTTAAGTATTTCTGACTCTAATTCAGATTTCTAAAAATAAAATCTGTGATTGATGTAGCTTCCAGCGATCCTGATTAGGATAAAGATCCTAAGACTTATTAGATGCAGCCAAAAAGAGCCAATGTTTCACAGCGTACTGCATTAAGTCGAGTCCCAGCAAAGCCCAGCCTTCATCCTCTAAGACTTCCTGAGGCTGTGTTCGGCTTCTTGTCAAGAATCTCCAGGCCCAAGTCTGGTTCATCTCCATGTGGAAAGTGGATGAAGGGTTGACTGATGACCACTTTAAACAGCCTGGTTATGCAACAGTTCCTAACATCAGTCTGGTGTGGAACAACACTCCTAAATAGACTAAGACTTAAAAAGCTCCTACAGGAAATGCAGTATTTTTAACATATAGAGTTGTTTGTATTGTAAAGGAATGTGTGGTAAACCTCCGACCTGCTTTTTACGCAAGTGTGAATTTAAAAAGGATTCATTATGTGAAACTACTACATTCCCATTACCTAAGCTGCTAATAAGTCAGCTAAAAACCAATGTTTATGTGTTTCACTCATGTGAAGACATTCATTATATCCAACGGCCTTACTTAAACCCCGCCGCAGGCCCATGCACCAATACTCACTTGTAGGGTCGGTTGTTGAAGCGTTTCTCCCCTGGGAAGCCATACATGCCACAGATGACCCTGCTGTTCATCCCCGTCCACTCTTCATCACAGATCTGTCTCCATTTGCCGTCGTCTTTCACCTCCAAAAAGCCCTCGGTGATGGGAATCTTCTTCCTGTGAGAATACGTGGCCCTGATCCTCACATCCTCCACCTGCACCGTCAAACCCTGCAACGCAAAGCAGAGGAAATGTTCAATCACCGCCTCACTGCCACCGATATTATAGATAATATAAACATAGGAAGCCTCTGAAAGTAGATTTTAGTCCATCTGCATGGAGACAACTTTGCTGATTCAAGATCCTCTGGGAGACTTTGATGATTATGTGGCTTTTTCTTGAGCAACACATTTACATTTGTAGATTTAACTGAAATGTCTGAACAACTTTTGCTAATTTACTACACACATCCATGTCCCCTGCAGGAGGAAGTGTAATTCCATTGGTTATCACTTGAGATTTAATTGAGCCCCATCATCAGGTCAGGATTTGAATCAGTCTAATTTGGTTTCTGACAAAACACCTGCACAACTAATCACATTAATATCAACCTCTCAGTGGGAATTGGCAGATGAGCGTGCTACCATGCTAACTTGACATGATGATAGACATAGGACATAGGGAACAATACACCTGCTTAACATCAGCATGTTAACATTTTCAGTGAAGGTACACATGTGTTAGCCCAAAGCAAATGGTGCTTTGAGACACAGAGCAATTCAAAGTGCTTTTCAGAAGCATAAAATAATTGCAGACATTTACATTAAGACGGTATAATTGACTTAGAAGACAATATAAAAAAGAAAATGAATAGTTACAGATTAATAAGTCATTTATCAGTGCCTTTGACAGTGGTTCAGAGGTTTAGTGATT